AAAAGTTCCCCCAAATCAAGCAAATTAGTCAGAGACAGTGCCACACCCACATTTAGAAGTCCCAAAAAAATACCAAGTTACACAACCAAAACACCTGTTCAATGGACTTATTTGGGTCTTTTAAAATTTTTTTCATTTACATTGTTGTTTTGAATACATTTATATCTGGGTGAACATGCCACATCCCCTGAAACTGGAGTTATACATTCCTGTGTGCAATCTGAATACTTGGAATTGAACTCAGGTCCTGTATAAGTGCAGTCAATGCTCTTATCTTATAAGCCATCTCTACAGGAACTGACTTACTCAATTCTATACAGGGTGATTGATTGTCAGATCAGTGTCTGTGATCCCCTATGAGCCATGGTTATTTCATCCTAGGGCTTTGTCCTCCTGGTGTCTTAGAAACCTCTGGCTGCTACAATTATCTCTGCCATTTCCCCAAGATTTCTATGTGGAATTTCTTTCTCATTGATGTCCAAAGTACTTTACCAGGTAAAATCCCAGAATCCAGGTCACAAAAGCAAGCAGTTAACAGAAAATTCATCCGAGGCCTGGGCAATATTGATTTAGCCCCATTGTCTACATAAAGGAAATGATCTGAATGCACAGGTGGCATGTGCCTACTACCTCTCCATTCTGGGAGGAGGAGGGAGGAGTGCTAGGAGCTTCAGCACATCCCCTCTGTCTGAAAGGAAAACAAAACTTCATGCATCAGACATCAGGTGGCAGGTGCACAAACTCTGAAGCTTGACTGTATGCTGAAATCAATGCACCAACACCAGGATTTGACCTGAGGTCCTTAGGATGCAGGAAGACAACTTTCCACAATACCACAGATTCTGCAATAACCTAGCCCTTGTCTGAAAGGCCACCTCTTCCATGATATATCAATTTTAGGTCTGAAATAAGGGTTCACATTACAGTGATAAGTGGGGCTTGGTATGGTAACCATGTATCATCAGGGCTATGAATGACAAGGTCTTGAAGGAGTTTTAGGCAGAGCTCCTCAGGAGATGGACCTGAGCTTTGAGAATACTTTGTGCCTCAGGCTGCAAATGAGGCTTAAACTTGAGCCTTGGTTGAGGCTGTACCTTCCTCTCCTATTTACTCAGTTGTGGCTTCAACAGCATAGTGTTCACAGCTGCTGCTGCTGTGTGTCTTGGTCATACACAATCTCTTCTTGGGGACTAATAGCTCAGCCTGGGCTACATCCCATGGTAATCTTATATCAGCAACTCCTAAGTGCCCCTCCCCCACATCCAAGATCTTCAGAAAAGAAAAAAAATCCCCCACCTCTAGCAGCCTGGGCAAGGATGTCTACAGTATCTAATGCCCTGCGACCACCTAGAGAGGAATAAAGAAGACTGCACACTGGAGCTGGCTGTGAGGCATCGTCAGGCAAATGTCACAATTCCTATCTGTTTCTATTTAATTCACCCTTTTATGAGAACACCCCCTTTTTCTTTTCAGTGGAACCGAGCCACTATTCCCCTTGTGAAAACGACACCACATATAAATTCCAACAAATAGATAAGTCTGTACGCAAGAATACCTTTTCCAAGATCATCGTATTAATTAACTTCTGTTGCCTTCTTCCTCATAAGATCTGTTGTTCATTCACAGGAAGCATTTTCAAGATTTGGATCTATCTATGTAAAGTAGTATTCTACAGTTCTCAGATGCCAGTCAGAGTCTTCTGTAATTTCCCTGCTACCAATCCCATTAAATTTTAAAGGTCATATTTTCATTGAAAGTGAAGGCTCCCCAAGATTGTAATCCTAGTGTCCCTGGAATTAAATAGAGACCCGAAAATTTTCAGAAGCTGGTCAGGTAGCAATGCTAGTAAAAGAAGACATGGACACTCAAGGTTTTCCCTTGAACATCAAAGACACACTGTGGCACACATGTTCTCTCATACATTTTATACACACACACTCACACTGGAAAGAGAAAGTTGTTCAACTATGTTTATTGCCACCCTATTCACAATAACAAGAAACAAATGAGCCTTCATGTCCTGAGGACATGCAACACATGTCAGCTCACCCTAGATATGGAACCCATAATAGACTGAAACTCAGATGACACTGTTGTCCAATTTGGTGAAATGATGAGTTTCACTGGAGCTACATACAGGGATATGGATGAGGGGTTACTTAAAGGAGTCAAAATTAATCAAAGACAGCTGCATCACCAAAGTCCACCCATGCACATGTGATAGCTCACAAAACAGGGAAATCTAGAGCACACTGCACAACCTGCAGGCACCTCAACAGGATGAGAGTGTTCCTTCCAAGAGCTTCAGTTGGTCTAAACATTTTCCAAGAATCATGGCTGCTTTCTTCTTTTCCCAGGTAGCGGGCCTCATTTCAGAGTCATCCATTTATTCCTTCCCATATCTTTTGCCTCTGGATGGAGCTGCTCCAGCCAGCTAGAATGCAGGGATGGCCATGCCCGACTTTAAATTGGGCTTCTTACAGCTTTGCCAGATGGTAAGGAAGACCAAATAAACTGTGAAAGATGAGCAAGACATACCAGTGTTGGAGAGCTACTCCTTTGAAGGTGGAATGGAAGTAGAATCTGATGGATATGATGCTAAAATAGTAGCATATGCCTTCAATAAAAACCTGGGAAGGGCTCTGCCAGGCTTCTGAATAAGCTGCTTTGGGAACCACAAAAGATTGGGGGTGGCTCCTAGGTTTCCTTTGGTACATCTCAATGCAGTGACTGTGGACAGTAACCTGGACAACCTGCAATTGGTACTATAGAGCTGGTGACCAAACACTGAAAAGACATCCAGCAAACAAACGGAGCATAATTTATACTGACTTCCTATCCAGCTTCTTCTCCAAAACGCTATGAAGAACAATTCTCTGTCCTGGATGTGACCTGTAGTATATCCAAATGGAGATGTGCAGGAAGAGAAAGAGAATTCCTGTGCCTACAATGACGGTCATTACCCTCCTAGTACAGTGTGTGAGAAGCAGATTCAGAAATCCCACATCTGTGGGCTTGGCCAGGTGGCTGCATTCTGTGGCTCTCAGTGGCAGAGGAAGGACAGACCTGTCCTTAAAAATCACCTTCCACAGAGGAGTTGTCCCTTCCATCATGATCTTGAGCTAGAGAGATTAACTGGCTGAAGAAGAGGTAAAATCAGAGAAAAAAATGATGTGGACAATTATAAACCTGAGACTTAGCTGGATAGGGTGAGTTGATTTATTTCTATGATTAGAAATGAGACTTGAATATACTTTTAGGAAGAACTGTAGAGTTTTTATGACTAGTGGTAGAATGGAATTTATTCCTTTCTGTGAAAATCTAATTAATTCCACAAGGTTCCAAATGTAATCATTAATACTTTACAGCAGTAACATATTATCTTTTCTTCATTTCCTCACTCTTTCCTTCTTCTGTGTGTTCATTGTTTCCTTCTTCCTTGCATATTCAATGTACTGTTGATCAAAATTGGTAAAGTTCCACCTTCGATCAAGGAGCTATCTAAGAGTGATAGCTGATAAGAGAGGTCAAATCAGTTTTTTCAATGTTGGGATCCATTGGCACTAGAGTGAGACAGAGGACAGGAGGCACCAAGGAGGTGTCTGATGTATAAAATAGAAAAGGCAGAGGCTGAAGCAGGCCATCTCTGTTGGCAGAGAGTGCAGCATGTATTTTCTTTTGTGAAAACATGAGTTTTATAGACATAATGTGAAGACTGTGATCTGGGTAGGAATTAAAGCTGTGTGGTCAAAGGAAAGGGTGTTTTGATTTTCTCTTCTTTGTCCTTCTTTACTTTTATTTCACTTTGCTTCTTTGTTTTTATCTTTGTTTTTGTTTTTGCATCATGTCTTCCTGTAGCCAATTCTTTTCCCAAACTCACTAATTGTGTTTGACCTTACACTGGGATTGTAAGGCTACCATACTACTTCAAACATTCCTTTTGTTTCCTTTCCTAATTAGTGTTGTTTTGAGAGACTTTGTATCTCTGTGGATCAGGCTGGCCCCAAATCAGAGATCCACCAGCCTGTGTTTACTTACTGTTGGAATTTAAGGTGTGTGCAAGGGATATAAACTCACAGGCTTTTTGCAAACATTCCAGGGCTACCCTGAATTTTAACCCATGCAATTCTCAGAAAAGGAGTAAATACTGGGACACACAGGTATGTTTTATTTTCATTGATTTTTTTTGTTTTGCTTGTTTTGTTATGTTTCTCCAGACATGGTTTCTGCTGTGTAACAGTTTTGTCTATACTGGAACTCTTCTTGTAAACCAGACTGGCCTGGGACTCAGTAAGATTCATGTGCTTCTGCAACCCTAGTGCTGGCATTAAAGGCCTGAGCCAACACACCGGCCAGTAGTCGGTTTATTATAGTCATGAAAATAAATATATTCATAGGAATCATTCTTTTGACCAACATTGCTGTATTTTATTAAAATCCGGATTATCATCAAATGTAATGAATATCAGTGCAGACAAATCAGGCTTTTGTTTGGTTGTTATTTTGTTTTTTGCTGTATAACAGCCCCAGATTTCCAGGAACTCCCTCTGTAGACCAGCTAGCGTTCCAGTCACTTCTATATGCCTGCCTCTGCCTCTAGGCATGAGCCACCAAATCCAGGCACATTTCATGAATTTTCTTTTTACTCAAGAATAAAACATTGTGCTTTTTGGATAAGCCATTTGATAAATTTGGAATTCTTTCCCTTTCACATGACATTTTTTTTCTCTCATGGCAGCTTTTCAGCTTGAGGCTTCATCATTCAAATTTTTTGGATGTTTATTTTGAAGACTTTAGACTTCAGAAATTTTAATCACTGATCTTCTAGTAGTCTTGGATGTGATGGAATTTGGATTCTGTCTTTTATGTTGTGATTAACATTATTTTAACATAAGACCTCAATGTTAGGGGATAAGATATCAATGTATAAATTTCAGGGGACACAACTGAATCTACAAATTAGAACATTTGGAGAAATTCACTCCTTACAGCACATTTTTTTAAATGCAACATTAAGATTTGAGAGTCCAGTTGATGTCACTGTTAGGTCCACATGGACTATCTATCAGTTCTAGCACATCCAGGGCTAAATTGGCACGGGGGAGGGGGGTCTAAAAACAGAAAAGCAACACCATCAAAACAACAAACCTCAGTCATTGACAGAAGTAGCAATCTGGTGAAATTTTTCAAACATTCCATATATACATTTCTAATTGCCATTGTGCAAATCACAACAAGCCTTGGTATGCTTTTACTAAGATAACAGCTTTGTGTTAGCAGCCATATCTTGGGTGCAATGAGGGAAAATCCTTGGAACAATGAGAGGCCTTATTGGAAGTGGAAAGATTCTATTTTCCAGTCTGGACCAATATTATGTTTCCTCTCTCAATATACTGATGAGTGGAAGATAATGTTGCAGACAGACATGACACAAACATTACTTTTTCCTTAGCAACATAGATGCAAAACTTATGAATATATATTTAGTAGTTACTTAAGGGAACATATCCTGTGAATAACAAGATAAGATCATTAGAAATGAGAGGTAGACAAAAAGCTAACCCATAGTCCAGTGATCCCATGCAATTGATTGGAGGGCAGATTCACTGATAATTGTAATCTGACTCTGCTTACAATTACATGCAGGGACTGAAAGCCCTCATTTTTGAGAATATATCCTTTAAAGAAGTCAACAACAATGAATAGCAAAATGAATAGCAATCCCAGCAACATCATCAACACAAGGGAATGCAAGAAAAACACTAGCAGATCCCCAAGACTTTTTTATTGAAAACAGGTGAGCATCAGTTAGCAAAAAGGAGTGGTGTTGGTTGGGGACCCTGTCTTGGGCACAGTATCATACACTGTTTTGTTTCCACATGACATGAAGATATTGAAGATGGCTACAACAATCCCTTGACTCTTAGTAATTAAAGGGTGGTGGTAGGCGTCCTGGAAAAAAAAACACTCCATTTTTATTATCAAAAAAGACAATGGTTCTGAGCCTGAATAAGGGTGTGTTTCTGATGCAATATCTCAGAATTACAGAAAATCAATTCAAGTCACCTCAATGTACCAAGAAGAGTCATAGAAGGCATCTTCTTCTGTAGGTGTCCTGGTGGAGGAGGTATAACCAGAGAATATCTCCAGGCCAGAACAGACTGAAGACTGCCTGATCCATAAGGATCACTTCACATGTGATGGCAACCAAGAGAGAATCCACAGAGAGTCTAAGACATACAAATGTGAGGAATTCCCCAGAACCTTAAAATATCCGTGGGTGGACTACATGCTTAGTGTCCTTTCTGCACATGAAGAAACATGTAGCCTCTTAGCAGCAAGAAGCCATTGTATATGTGACATGTCCCTTCAGGCTTAATCCATCTGCTGTCACATTCCATTGTCATGTGCCTGTAAAGATGTGCCAT